CTTACCTCGAACCAGCTCAAATCAATCCGAAACCACGCTTTTTCCATGAGTACTCGACTCCAAATGGCCCAAATCTATTCAATTCAATTGCATAATGTAAATAACACTTCAAGTAACTGATTCTACAAAGAAATTCTAAGCTAATACGCAAAATTAGATAAAATGACCAAAACGCCCCTTGGGCCCACGCCTCTGAATCGGGTAAGATTTACATTTCTAGAATTTTCACACTCTAACGAGTTCAGTCATAACAAAAGTACCAAAATCGGACTTCAAATGGTCCCTCAATCATCACTTAAAGGTCTCTAATTAGTCAAGCCCTAACCCCCAAATTACCACTGATTTTCCTTAATTTTTCATGCTTATAATGATAAAATCACTCCAAGAACGAGTTTAGGGATCAAAGACCTTACCCCAATGAACTCCTCTGAAAATCCCTCTTGAAAAATGCTCCCCAAGCTTCTTCCCATTTGAAAAGAGGTGAAACATAGCTAAATTTCATGAAGGCAAGTATTTTATGTTTCTGCCTAGTTAATCCGCTTCTGCGGCCCTGGGACCGCATCTTCGGTCCCACTTCTGCAAGGACATGGTCACATCTGCGACCTTTCACTTAAAGGCCAGCTTCCGCACCTGCGATTACCCGTTCGCAGATGCGGTACCACTTTTGCGGTAAGTCTCCCGCATCTACGGAACCTGCTGATCCTCCCCAATTTTGCTTCAGCGATTGCTCCGCCTTTTCTGCAACTCCGCACATGCAGGACCCAACCGCAGGTGCGGTTATGACAGATATCAGCAGCTTCAGCTGCTTCAAGCCACTTCTAATTCTTCCGACAACCATCTGAAATCATCCTGAGGCCCCCGGGACCTCAACCAAGAGCAAAAACAAGTCTAATACCACTGTCCAAACTTATACCAACCCTTAAAACACTTAAAACAACATCGAAACGACGAATCAACCGTGGATTCAAGCCTAAGAACTCCAAAACTCTAAAAATACGCTTTCGATCAAAAAGTCTATCAAATCTCGTCCGAATGACCTGAAATTTTGCACACATGTCACATTCAACACTACGGAGCTACTCCAACTTACGAAATTCCATTCTAACCCGCGGATCAAAATCTCACTATCGAACCAGAAACTTCAAAATTCGACCTTTCGGCATTTCAAGCCTATATTAGCTAGGGACCTCCAAAACACCATCCGATCACGCCCCTAAGCCCGAAATCGCCCATCGGAGCTAACGGAACCATCAAAATTCCATTCCGACGTTGTCTTCATACTATTCTGACTACGGTCAACTTTCCAATACTTAAGCTCTCATTTAGGCACTAAGTGTCCCAAAACTCTCCGAACTCAAAACCGAACATCCCGGCAAATTAAAATAGCAGAAATAAACACGGGGAAAGCAGTTAATAGGGGATCGAGGCATTAATTCTTAAGACGACCAGTCGGGTCGTCACAAGGACGTCATGCAACATCAAAGATCGGCCACCACGCATGTCCATTCTGCAATTGCCTATCCCTTTGACTTCAAGCTTTGCATTATTTCCCACATATACATGCTTTGATCCATGTGGAAATCAACGAAACTCTATAAACGCTTCTCTATCACGGCTCAGATGGTCGGTGACCCCTGACTCTACAATCCACACAGGATAAGATTCAGTTAACAAAACAGTGCTAGAAACATATATAGCACTAAGAGATATATTTTGAAATGCTACCTTTTTTTGGCTTAGTGCACTCACGAGCAAAATGCCCTGGAACTTGGCAATTGTAGCACTTCATCTTACTCTTGTCTTTCTTCTTGTAGAACCGTTTTTCTTTCTTAGAATTTGGTCTGTTTCTTTTCTTTGAGGATCCTTGTCCGATTTCCTTACCTTTTCCGTCATTTTTCCAGTTTCTCTTACGCTTGAAGCTTATTTTTTTGTACCACTTGCTTCTGCCACAAAGGCATTAGGTACAGCTTTAGCAGCACCAAGCCGCTCGCCTTCAAGCTCCACATGATGAGCAATATCAACAAAAGTTTTGATGCTATCATTGTGGGTCAAGTTAACACTCAGATGTTCTCAATTATTGGGAAGAGACCGAGTCACTGCTTGAACCTGTTGCTCTTCAGAGAGAACATGCCCAACACTTTTTAGTTGAGCAATCATATTTGACATCACCCTTAGATGTTGTTTGACACTTTGATCATGACGTTTTTTGTACGTGTAAAACTTGATTGTCAGCTGTCGAAGGCGAGTCACAGTTGTACCCCCATATGCCTCTCTTAAATGTGCCCACATGGCTTGAGTAGTAGGATATTGTTCACATTCGTGGATGAGATTATCAACAATTGAACTTGCAATAATTTCACGTGCAGTGGAATCTTTCTTCTTCTAAATGTTGTAAGTTTCTAGATCCCTCCTATGTTGGGCAGTGTTACCCTCCTCTGGGTGACTCATAGCATGGTTAATACTTTCAAGAGCATCTTGCTCTTCGAGTACATATCACATCTTACGACTCTAGATGTTGTAATTTTTACCATTCAGTTTGTCACCCTTGTTCAAGTCAGCAATGATACTTTTCGATGCCATGTCTGTTATTAGAGACAATATTACAAGTTTAACTCATCAATATATACTTCAGTCAATTTATGCATATGACTACACACTCAAGTAAATTAATTATAATATTAATTCTATATTTAGTATAGAATCGAACGGTCACTACATTTCTATTCATCATCTATATCTAAATATTCTAATTAATATTAAAATCACTTCTTAGTGTGTACTTTATTTCAAGTCTCAATAAAAAAAATGATAAACAATATATGTAACTAGTGAGACAAGTAACATAATTTAAATTTCATTAAGATAAAACACATAATAACAATTTACATGTTTGTTAGGACATACATGTACCAATCGAACACTAACTCTTGCACATACACGCTAAAAAGTGCACTGGGCCAAATAACAGTTAAAATTTCACCCCAAGGCTCTCGAAGAGAGTCCGCTAAAATAGCTAATGCTTTCCAATCAGTAATTTCTACGTAATTAGCCAATTCAGCTCTTTTTAACTGAAAAAGGTGTACATGTTCAGGAATGGAAACATCAGGGCCCATTTTAAATTCCTTAAACTCCTTAAATTTCTTTTTTCTTTCCCTTCATTCAGCCCTTTGATCCCTTAACTCATTTTGTCTCGCCCTTGGGACATTTCTGATGACTTCAGGCTCCGAGTCTGAATCATTATAGAAATAAGTCATGCGGCGATATACCCTTCTACGTTGCCCCCTTCCTTGACTTCGACAACTCCCACTTGGAGTAATTCGAACTTGTCACTATTCAGCAATATCTGAAATAGGACCAAGAAAACACTAAGAATGGTTACAACCATCCAATGTAACAACATATATCACAATTACTTGTAGAAGGATATTAATTGAGGGATTAAAACTACACTTATTTTAATATTAAGAGGAAACTTTAGGGATTTAGACTAAATTTGTTAATAGAAATTAAATCTGATTCTATTCCTCAACTTTGCAGCCACAACCGATGGTATTTATAGCACTTACTTGTCTACCAACAACAAACCAACATTAGTTACATAGGATCATTGAAAATCTATAACTTTGATGGCATTTTCTATTTCTATCTTTCTCATTGATCTTAAAACAAATAGGCTCACATGGTGGCTGCAATGAATACTATTGTCTTTTTCCTCTTTCTCGTTGTTTTAGGGGAAAAGATTCTGGAAGCCATATCATTTTCTATTATATTAACTGTTAACATGAACAATAAATAACAAAATCAGATCACAATTCCATATATTGTAAAGACAAAGTCTTACTTACTTTAACTTTTAGGAGACAGTAATTTATCAAAATATTGTTATAATAATTTGGCGTGAAACCAGTATAAACAAAAAAAAACTATAAAGGGAATTACTTTGAAATAAGCAGAAACTTTCTTGAGTGTTAGAGATAATTATTTTACGGGACCAGTGCCGACTTCTTTGGTGAATCAAGAATCTCTGAAAGTTGTTAACTTGACTAATAATTTGTTTCAAGGACCAATTCCCAAGTTCAAAGATTCAGTTTCTATGGATTTGATAAAAGATACCAATAGTTTTGTTTACCAGTACCCGGTGATTTTGTTATTTAATCATGATATATTGGTTTGGGATAACTTGTAATAACGGGAACATTACCATTGTAAATTTCCAAAATATGGGGCAGCAATTAGGAGCAAACAACGCTGACTCTAATATCATTGTCAATTAAAATCGAGTAATAGGGACATTAAATTTGTGTACCTATTACAATAGCGAAAGTTTTGCAAAATCTATTCCAATCAATTGCTCGAATCCGACTTCGTCTCTCTTGGAAACGAAGTTCTTCTTAACGATTTAAATACCTTGTTTATCACAGTGTGTTTTTTTGAAGGAGAATCACTTCATTACCTCTTTTTTTCTGTTAAGGAAGAAAGATATATATAAAGGAGAGAGAGGGGTTCCAAGAGAAAAAAATGCCGCTCACATTCAATCGTACGTTCCCATTTTCTTCCTAACGTGCAATTATTTTTTTTATTTATTTATCTATATTTTAACTTCCTTAAGTAATCTCTTTAAAATTTTATCTCCTTTAAATGAGCAGGATCAGTTCATATGGGCTATCCGCAACCCAAACCCAGTACCCAACATCAAGAGAATTTAAGAGAATTTTCAACTGTACTGTGAAGCAAAATTTTGAGGTGAATTGGTATAATTTGCCCTTGGGCAATAACAAATTTACTTAAAAGGAAAAAGTTTTACTATTTAAAAAGACTCTTGTCAAATTATTGGTAAGAAAATGGTTCTTTTCTAGGCCATTCTGGAAGAGAAAAGTGGAGAAATTGACACGAAGCAGGAGAGTCCAGGAGTCACTAGAAGCTCTAGCCACGTCTAGAAATGTTGACACGCCATCTTACACGAACCAATACAGTGCCAGAAGTCCTTAGTAGCATATATATGATCTCCCCAAACTAGAATCGATGTTGAGGTGAAACCATAATAGAAGCTGTAATTATCTTGCATATACAGAAAGCTCAAAGATGCAAACAAGATTGGCTATATCTTCAGCTACAAAACTTCATCGACTCTTATTGGCACTATCTCTGAAGAGAGTGGAGTACAATCCACACAGATTTTGCTCTTCTACTGTAGGTCGAACAGCTGATCCCGCCGTCCATTCTGGAACTCTTGAAGTAAGTAATATACCTACCAAAACTCAACCATTTCAATGTTCGAACGTAGGATAATCATATATGCTGAAGTTTGATGGAATCTGGTAAATTGGCGGGGTGATTGAAACTTGGACGGATCAAAAAACGTTAAAATTACATGATTTAAATTAATACGTGTGACATGATTCAATCCCTAAGTTCACGTGGATCAAAATGGCTCAATTACAAGTTATACTTCAACCCGCCAACATAACCATATCTCCTTTTACTATTAACTTTGTTTCTTTTTTAAGAAAAAGACGTGAAAGTCTGGTCATTTTTATTGAATTATTAGCTCAAGTTTATTCGAATTTACATAGTAAATTTTATCTCCAAATGTGAAGGTGTAAGCTTGAGTTGCATATTATAAGTTTGGGTTACACCATCTTTCACTTGTTTTGAGCAGATAGTTTGATTGGTCATTGCCTGTTAGATTAGGACGCCAACAGTCATAATCCTAGTTTAAACTGGTTAGACGGGTTACTAAAATGAGTTAATTTTGCTTCATTTAATTGTAGTGTCCAAATTTGATGGAATTAATAATGAGTTACTATGCTGTATTTGCAGGGAGATGACTTGGAGGGATCAGTAAAAGTAGCAGAAAACGAAAGGAAACAACCAAATCTAAAGCCCGGTAAAGATAACGAGGCATTTGTGCCACCAAAATCACCAACCGGGTCATCCCAGAAGATAGAGAGCACAGGGGGAAACAAACCTATAGACCCTTTGAGACAACAAAAGCGACAGAAATCTAATGTAAGCCACTCCAATGGAGCGCTATCATTAGAAGATGTTAGCTGCGGGGGATTAGATGGTACACCATGGCCCGACGAAGCAAAAGACAGAGGAGCACAATTAGAAGATGACAGAGAATACTTCAAGCATCATAAACCATCTCCATTGGCAGAGATGGAGATGGCTGATACGAGGAAGCCTATTACACAGGCCACTGATGCACCAGCGGGTGCTGGTGTCGCTTTTTATCCGGCACCTGACGGCGGGGTAATGGTGTGGAGGCCGGAGCAATTGGAGACTGCTGAAGAGTCTCTGATGAGAGCGATGGAGATATGGAAACAGAATTCTATGAGAGGTGACCCTGATTCACCTCATGGTAGGATTCTTAGACAGCTTCGTGGTGAGTACTGGTGATCTGATCAGTGCTTCATCTAGTGAAGCAGCTAATGTATTTTGGTTTCTGTTTTTTAATTATTGTTGTTGTTTCACTTAGTCCGATCCAATTTCACGAGCTACAAACACCATATGCGTAAAGTGTTTCGAGGCTTGTGGATTGTGAGGATCTACATTAGTCTAAGCTAGAATTAGCAATCTACTCTAATGTTTTCTGTAATTACATGAGAAGTGATGGATACCGTTATTTTTTCGAATATAAATAAGTCTAGCTAGAATCATCAATGAATTCTCCAATTTACGATTGCAACACCATATTCTCCTGTAGATAAAGTTATTTTAATCATTTTCTTTGCATGTACCTTTTATTATTGTCGTTTCATCTCTTGATCTCAAGGTTGTAATCAGTAAAATAAATTATGTTGTCACAAAATAAATATTGCTATTCCAATTTCCACAGACAGATGGTTATGTCTTTTATGTTCCCATTAAAGGTCCAGCGCAAATACATTAATTCATAAGCAGTTCTACCATAATGTGTTCTAAATAATCCCCTACATAGGTTTACTGGTACATTCTGTTAGAGGATGAGCGTTCAGTTGTTATTGAATTATCATTGAATTTATATTCAGATTTCCTGCAATGCCTCATGAAGTGCGAGAGGATAACTATTTTGAAATTGAAATGGAGTATTAATCTCTGCTTGAACATTTTGACATACTGTAATTATTTACTATTCTGAGAATCAATCCTAGAAGATAACTTTGGTGTTGTTGCCTTGGTTGTAGGTGTAATGATAGTTCAGAGTCCATTACTCAAATGGTCACTCAACTATCCCAAATTATCTTTTAAAGTCAACGGTCACTCAACTATTCCAAATTATCTCCTAGAGGAGAAGAATGACATGGTCTCCTTCCACAATAAGGATTGCCGCTTAGTTCAATCCAAGAGCAAACAAGGGACGTCTCATTATTATCTTCTATCAACGGTCACTCAACTATCCCAAATTATCTCCTAAAGTCACTTTTCTTTTGTTTGTAATAATAAGTCACTGAACTATGCCTATTGCACTCAGAAGGTCACTTAACTAGATTTTAGAAGATAATTTTAGATAGTTGAATGATCATTTGAATAATAATTTTGAATAGTTGAGTGACCATTTGAATAATTGGACATGATAGTTCAAGGTCGAGATAATGTTGGTCAACTAATTAACGATGAATGCGTGTAGTGTATGAAGTATAACAATCATTGGGAACTAATTGTGCTAGACTAACGCAATGAGTGCTACAAATTACCGATTTAATGAGATAATGGATGTAACTGACACGTGAGCTCATATGAGTAAAACTTTGAAAAGATAATATACTAACTTCGGTCCAAAATAAGTGATTTTTTTGTTGTTTTCATACTTATTAAAAAATTCACCTTTTAACATTAATTAGTAATGAAATTTACTATATTAATATTTACTATCTCTTCACATAAACACTCCTAAAATATACTCCAACATTAATTACTCCAAGGACAATGTAGGAAAAAAAATAATTAATTCATTCTTGAAATCTGGAAAAATCACTTACTTGGACCGGGGAGTACTTCTTTAACCGTAGTATTAGACAAAGAAGCTTCATATTATGGTTAACATAATGAAAGGCGAACTAACAGTTAATTTGGCCGCTGTGGTTTATATTATGACTTAATTGGTGATTTGCTGACTGCTGGGCTGGTTTAAAGCAAACATAGCTTGCCAGAAATTTCTTAAATGGGGTTTTCCCGGCTGCTTGCTGGTATAAGATTGCAAGTCCCTATGCAAACCTCCAAGACAAAACCTCTTTTGTTTCCCTTATATACACTTATTGTGTAAATGATTTTTCACACTATTGGTCTATCTACACGCGTCCTAATAAGTTATTTGTCTTATTTTTCAGGTATCTATTTATAGTTAGTGGAACAAATTATTTATAATTATCTTTAACTTTGATCTAATAGTGTCGAAATTCTTGTACACCTATCAGAATATGAAAGTTTTTACTCTTTAATTGAATTGTATGGGCATTATTCTTTGCCGCA